GCGTGCAGGCACCTCGTAGATAAGCAATTACGATGGAATTCGCAGATAAGACGACAAATTCGAATTCCGAGATTCGGGACCCCGATACGATCGACACGGGGCCTCTTCGTCGTCTCTCGCCTCTCTCTTTCACCGTCAGATTCCTCCCTCGGCCGATCGTGTCTTGTAAATCGCGCAATTTGCTAAATACGATAAATCACGAACGATTGATATCGTTGATGATATCGCTTTGAGTTGAAGAAAATTTGTCATGTGTTAGATCGTCAGAAAATTATAAATCGCGGGATAGGAAAAAGGTGTATGAATCTTAAAGGCGTAGACTCTCAAATAGGTATTCGAAAGGTGATAATTCTCTTTAGATCATTTTAGCTGTCCCTATATTACATATGAAATTTAATTGTGTTATTAATGTCGAAATTTTAACTATGATAGCTAATATTTTTTAGCTATAGAATTTTTTGTTAAACTGTAACTATTTAGGCATGATATCTAAATTTTAAGCTATAAGGATGGCTAAAATTTAATTATGGTGACTAATTTTTTTTTTGTGAGTGTTGTCGGTGATATTTTCGTTGATTCAGCAAGAGAGCAGGGCGTAAATTCTACATTGCAATATTTTTCTATATTTTTATTATTACATAAACACAAATGAGCAGCACGAAAATTCTCAACATTATTGTGTATAATATTTTTCTATACTCATAAATCTGTTCTTTCTTTTATAATATAATTATAATTCGTTTATCTTCTCAATATTTCTCAAGAGAAGAGTTATATATAGATTTAAGCGAATTTTTGAACTTTCAAACTTGCGATTAATTCGAAATGGCTAAAGACTGAAAAAGTACTTTGGGAGCGATTGGGAGAAGAAAACTGAGGAAAATCAGCAAAATTTGATTTTTCGATCGCGGCGTCGAAACACACGTGACGCCGTTTGTTTTCAGCTAATATAAACGGTGTTGCTGTGCGAGGCGATTTTCGTAAACTACGCCGGCGCGACGACGCGACCGCGACGTGTCGTCCGGATGTCAATCACGCACACGCATATTCGCGGCGTATCGCGCTGATGCGTGCATAGTTGATTTCGCGTGCACGCTCTCTGCTATCCGAAACTGATAATGGGCGTTGCTCCATAGGTAATGCGATACGTTTGTGCGTCGTGTGCATATGTATCAATGCATACGTGTATGTGTGTGCATACGTGTGTTTGGTTGCCGCGCATATTTAGTCATAAGATCAAACTCAAACAACTTTGCCATTATTTTAATTCTAAACGCGAATGCAGTAGCATCGCGCGTTTGTCGCGCGAATTCGAAAGGCACGAATATGTATATATATATATATATATATATATATATATACATATATGTATATTCGATATATCATATATACAAATATACATAATACGCAATGTATATATAACAAGGATAATGATTGAGAGGTGACGATAATTACGCGCCGAATATTACGTAACGCTCGATGAAATTACGATTTTACGGAAAATATTATGTAAAAAAATCACGATATATAAATACGTGATTATATATATATATTTTTTCGAGATATTCCTTTTTTCCGTTTTATTATTTTATATCATATATTTTATTTTATTATACGCAATTTTAATATGGAGTATGTTATAATATTTTAAAATATACCATCTTGCATAATTTGTCGACAGTATTACAATTACAGATTAACAATATCAAATATATGCGTTCGGGCAAAACTTTTTGCATAAAGTATTATATAAAAAAAATTCTATGAAAAAAAATCATAATATATGATTATATTTTATTTAATAATTGAAGATTATTCCTATTATTTTATTGTATTTATTGTAGGTAGTTTCATATATTGTTATAAATTATAAATGCACTTTTTTCATAAATGTGCAGTTGTCCTCACGCACGTGCATTGTTAACGCGTACGAGATTGGACGCAATTTCAATTGAAGAGTTCAAGGGTTAATCGCCGCGTTTCTCCGCGATGAATCCTCGAGAATGTAAAAATCGGAAGTCGTGAATCGCAAGATTTATCGCGCTTCCGAGTATGGCTCGGGTACTCACGCCCACGAGTGGTAGTAGATTACTCAGTATCTTTACTGATCACGATGCATCCTCTGCCTATGTTTAATATCGAGATTTACGAGTTATGCAAACAACAAGAAAGTCTATCGTCAAAGCTCGAGGATGCCGGATATGTGGGTCCGCTCTCTTTTCTTCTTCCACTTTCAGACCTATTTGATAATTTTTTAATACATATATTTATATATTTTTGAAAATTTTATATTTTTCGTTGAATTAATCACAAATTGGCCAAGTCGCATATTTAATGATACTTTTAATCGAAATGCACTTTATACAAAACCGCAATTAAATTACAAGAGTCAATGATAGAACGCATAATTGATTTTGAATAATTAAAATTCGCGATGTCATACAAAAATTAAATATTAATCATATTTGGTATATTTGCAAAATTACAAAAATTACGAATAAATAAATTATGATACGATTGGTCGACCGCATGGGAAAGGCAGGTGCGCCTGTCCAAAAAGGAGAGTTAGCCTCTTCGCATTGGTCCATCCGTGGTTTCCATGGACGCGAATAATCGATCTGTTCGTCGCTGACGTTTGTCTCTTCCACAGAGCATGCTCCAATGAAACTCGGCTTTTCTCAGTCGAGACATTGCGTAATCGTGTTACGTAATATATGCACCACTTCTAAGATGCGTAAAACAAAATAATACTTTGGTAATTGAAAAATCTTGTTGAATTCTAAGGTAGCCTGAAATAATTCTGTAGAGTCAGCGGAATTATAATTACAGATTTTTTTCATCGTTGAATGTAAAAATAAATAATGCGCATTATATGATTGGAAAATATTTTTGAATTCTTTACAACAATTGTTATTGTAATATTTATATTGCAATTCAGAATATATGCTGACAATTAATATTATTTATAATATTTATTATAAAATCTCTTCGTATAATAATACAAATAACAAAATATTCATTTACTGTCATATATTATTTATGTTAATTAGTAATTACGTTATTGATATACTCGTCGTTTAATTGCACGAGTGCACGTGCTCCTGTGTGTATACCGGATTACATTATTATTCTTCAACCCTATTTATGTAACGCTCCGGCACAATATGTTTGAAATTTATTCGTAATTTAATTTTGCCTCGTATATAAACCCAGCTGCATGCGGACGATCGGATGCGCCGACCGATTTTGTTTCGGGCTTGCTGTCAGATCGCTCACAGGTAGCCCGACTCCGTATTACGTTACCCGCTCTGCACTCGCTCGATTGCGCCCGTTCGCTCGCGCTGTCGGCTGGACACGTCACCTGACTTTAACTTTGTTTCGAATTAATCGAACTCGAGGCGTCTCTCTTCGCGGAGAAATTTACTCGTCTCGCGCGCACCCGCGCGGCCGTCGTTCATTAAGTAAAATCAATTAATATACCGCGCGAATTATTATTGAAATACGTACGTGAAGAAATTCTGATTCGATTAATTATTTTTCTTCAACCGAAGCAAATAAAGAGAGAACATAATTTTTTATCCAGCGATATAACTCTTTCGCATCAAATATCGTTATAATTTGTTAAATCTTGATGAATTAATATCGAACTACAGATTGATAATAAAAATAAGCGTTGCTTATTTTAATTTTAGTAATTAATTTTGAAATCACAATATATTTGTGTTTGAAAAAATGATATGTCGTGATAAAAATACGCGGTCGTTTTTTTTTAAATTCCCATTTTGATATACATAACTTTGTTCCCGTGCAACTTCGTGCTTCCGTCCTAACGCTTTAGCGAACTGTGCTTCGCCAATTCTACTCATTAACTATGTTGCGCCGCCTGCAACAAAGTGCGCGCTTAAATTACTCGCCGTGAGTATCAGCCGTCAACGGCGAGAACTTGGCTCGTTAATGCGGTCGGAAACGACGTAGACCAAGTTCCAAGTTCTGCAACACCCTTACACGGATTAAGTAACGCTTTCGTGGATCTACATGCTTCTGGCTTTGGATGGACGGTATTGTGCAACGTGGTGATTGCGGTGTTCTACTCTTCATAAATGACAGGGTACACGCGATAATGCGCATGCAATATGATATATATATACATATATATGTATATATAATTATCTGTTATTAATTAGAGTACAGATAGACGACTATAAAAATGCGCGTGAATAATTGCAGAAAATGTATATATACGCAAAGAAAATTGAAATGAAATTTGTGCGTCTACTTTATTCTTTGGAAATTATGGTTGTGTTTTATAATATTCTTATACGCGAATGCAAATACTTTATATACATGTGTGTGTACCATATTTCATATGTTAAAGATAAAAATAATACGGAGAGAATTTTCTCTTAGAATTTACCCTGAAAATCATGGAATAATCGTGGGATAATATGGTGTTGGAAGAATTTTATGAGTTTCTTCTGATTAATATTTATCATAATAAAATATATTAATATGTATATGTATATAGTAAATTTTACTATGTACATATTAGTATTTTTTTGTGGTAAATATTAATCAGAAAAACTCTTATTAAATTCTCTCAATACCATATTGTCCCACGATTACCATGATTTTCAGGGTAAATTTTAAGAGAAAATTCTCTCTGTGTAGAAATTTACATCTCGAAATTTCGATCGTGATCTGTTTTGCAATGTGAAACGCAGTGGAGAAGTATTTTTTGGTTATAAAAGATGAAAAAATTTATCTCAAAAAATAATCGCATTATAAATTATATATTATACCGTAAACGGACATGAACAAAAGTAGGAGCTACGCATTACAAAAGTTGCTTCCTGTTTTTAAAGTATCAAGGAAATCGCTTTCCACTCTCAAGAACGCATCGGTAAGAACAACGATAAATGTATATCTGGTTTAAGTTAAATATATCAAAAGTGCAAAGAATTGTTTATCATCCTCTCGTAGATTCGTGCTCGTGACAATAACGAGACAAAGTTACGAGATCCATTTCGCGCGATTCTCGATCAATGGAGAACAGCCAGGTGCGAATTCTGTTGGATAGAAGTTCGTGTACCACGCGATTCCCTTCATCCGAACAGAATCAGAACCAATCAACTGTCGAATCTCAATGCCAGGTGACATAATTGAGTTCTTAATTACGGTAAGAGTAGAATTTTAAAAGTCAGAATTTGTTTGTAAATTATAAGTATATTCTGCAATTATAATTTATAATAAAAAAATAATTACAAAATTTTGCAATAAATTTTGTACTTGGAATAAATGATATTTGCGTAAATATAGAGTGAATTTTGGAGTTCGCTGCAACAGACCACGTCCGACGATAGCGCGAAAGATGGCGATGGATTCGCAAGGGAGGAACATTCTGGCGAACATCACGAGGCTTTGAAGTTCGCGTTTCCTAAGAAGGTCAAGGCTCGTGGAAGAAGAAAAGCGACCGCCAGCAAGCGTAGAGTCACGTTCGCTGATCATTAAACTCGTTCGCGCGGCGAGCATTGCATTACATTACAATAAAAACTGCAGCAAATGCAGATATTGTATTACACCCATTCGTCCGATGTCCGATCAGATTTTCCCGCGTAATAAGATTTTTCGATCAAAGGTGCGAGAGGAGCGGATATAATGCAGTTTCATCGCCGCAGAAAATTCTGTAACTCTGATATATTTGTTAAACGATATCATCGTGGTCCTCTGATCATTAAAGATATACGAAATTATTATTATTGTTATTTATTTTTTAATATATTTTTCATTTATATTTGAATATCATATTTTATTAATATATCGATATACAATATATTTGAATATATTGTTTGATATTCGCGAGATTGATCGATCGTCGATTGTCGGAGCATTTTCGAACGATTTGCTGAAGCTTCAGACTATTCGTGACATCTTCAATCAAATTTCCCGATATTTCGATTCCTTAAAATTTTCAGTGGAATTTTACAACATTTTAATTAAATTTTTACGATCAAACAAGCATGAATGGGTTTAAGATATGGGCATTGCAAGATTTATCACTCAGGCTGCCTGTTAAATGCCTGCAGGTATCTATCAAGTTTTGTCAACCTCGCCACTTAGTGAAAGTTAATTGTTTGATTATAAATAATATATGACAAAAATATTAAAGAGAAAGAGAGGTATTATAATTAATATAACATCTCAAAAAATGTTTCTGTAGTTTACATTTATTTTTAAAATTTAATTTAATATACATTATGTATAAAATTTCGTATTTTTTAAATCAGTCTTTGAATCAAAGAACTATATGATTAATGAAAAATGTATATTTTTTTTATAACTATGTGAAAATATTCAATATGCAATTCTTAGCTTTTGATAATAAAATATTTTTATTCTCGAAATAAATCAGCATGAAACACACGTACCTACGAGCATAATTAAGCGCCGTTTTTGGAATTTATTTACCTCCTCTCGCGAGGAAAAAAATGTTCGTGAAAACAAGATAATCAATTCATCCAAGCTTTCCAACGATGTGGAATCCATCTTTACAACGCAGATGACTTCATCTGACATCGCGCCGATAATTCTCGGTGCTCGATCGCCCATGCATTTTTTCAATTTCGAAACAAATACGAGGATGAAATATCCGAAAGCATTGCTGGCTGGAAACCCGGCTGATGATTACGGCTTTATACATGGCGACAGAAACGTGACTATTAATAAAATCGATGGTTGCGCTTCGAAGATAGTTTCCACGCTTCGAGAAAGTCAAGAGCCTACATTTGATGATGCGATCGAGCAAGTACGGACGGATAATTTGTCGACCGTTATTGCTGCGAGAAACATGGGTGCTCTGCCTCCTGCGAAATCGGAATCGAAAACATCGGAGATCGAGCGGCAGCGATCGCGAGACCGGTTTAAATCACCGGACGATCAATATTCACAAGAATATGATATATCGACGCGATCTCGGGAATTGCAAGATTACACGCGCGAGGATTCCGTTTCGAATACAACGCCTCGACTTCAGCAGCGATCGCGAATTATTCCGTGCATCTTGCGAACGCCTGCGATCATCTCCAAGCCATTATCATCTTCATTTGAAATACTTGAGCAGTCGAACAGGACGAAGAGATGCGCGAAAGATACGAAAATATCCGCGATATTCGCAAAAATAGGTAAAGACACTTTATAAATTTAAATGACACACTGAACAAAAATTTGTCAACTTGACTAAATTACTATTTTATTAAATCAACATATATTAGTATTTAAGTGAAATATACGTTTTGTTAAATTTAATGTTATATTTAATTTAAATTTTTTTATAGGTTCGATTAACAAAAGAATCTTTAGTTGAAAGGTTTAGTCAAGTTACCAAATTTTTGTTCAGTGCACGAATTGATGTAAGGAGAAATATTACATAATTTACATGCTACAGAGATGCCGCGCAATATTCCGTTGAAATGGTTTTCCATGAAGCAACCATGTCCTCGTCGCGAATATCACACGTGGAAAATATCAGCCGGGATCGAAAATGACGTAAAATGCGACGATGTCTTCGCTTCCGATACTCGAGCAGTGCAACGAGAACAAAGTACACGCTGTGGATCATCTCAGTTTCATGGATTGACTTGTTCCGGAAATACGGGGAATCAAGGGTCTCAAAATCCTTCATCTTCTGTACCACGTCGCAATTTCTCTTCGAAAAGCTGCACCGCGATCCGGAGTTCTGTTCGAAAAATCGAAACCTCGAGGAAGGATATGTTTAGCGCGAATCCATCGATCATTCGCTTGAGAAGTACGCGAGAAACATCTATTAGGTTCTTTCAAATTTTTAAATAGTCATTTATTTCTGAAACTTGTCATTTAAATAATCTTTAATTTGAAATATTTATGTACATAGAATTTATGTGTATATGCAATCCAATTTTTTCGAATATTAATTTTTTCTGAATATGTATATTATAAGATAATACTGAAAATTAGCATATCTCACATATCATAATATATTTAACTTCTAATTAATATCAGAAATTTGGAAAATCAATTATCGCAGGCATATCCCTGGCGAAGGTGCAATCATTTTGTTGCGACGCTTTGAAAAAATCCTCCGAAAAGAACGATGGATCTAAATCGCGCAAATCGGGATACGAAGTCAAGGACTCATGTTTTCGCAAGATTGCGAAAGATCGAGATAAAAGCGAGAAGAGATGTGAGAAACCGCGACGGAAAGACGTCTCGTCTCGCAGTAGTGGCACATGTAAAAAACGACGGGAGAGCAAATCCAAGTCGTGCCAACATTATCCATGTCCTGAACTGCGGATACGACGATGCAACTGGGAAGAAAACAAGTGTCCGGAAGAGGCCCCTCGAAAAGCCGCGAAAAGGGATTTTAATTGCTCGCAGAAAAAGGACATTGACACGAAATGCAGCGAAAGTAAAGCGGAACGACATAATTATCTATTTACCTATTATATACCTGGTATCATTCGGAGACGATTTTTCCTCAGCGAAAATGTCGAGACACCAATAATTTTCGAATTATAAGCAGTCGAAAGTAAAGGCTTTTTTGAAAACTAAGCCTTGTAGAAATAAAATATTACATTAACAGGACTGCATTCGTCAGTTAATTTTAGATAGAGTTTGCTTTAATAGAATTTTAATATAAGGCTTAGTTATAAAGATACATAATATAACAAAATTGGGAACATGTTAAAAATGATGGCCTCTCCCAACATTTTCACTAAGGAAAAATCGTCTCCAAATGATACGAGAAATCTGCCATTAAAAACTTTTCCGCCAGTTCTGGGACACCCTGTATATTGTAGTTGCTTTAACATTCGAACTTAATTTTAACGCGATGCATCGGCACGCGGAATATTTTAAATTAATATCTCGAATTCGCAGAGTAATAAATAGAAATTATTATTGCTTTTATTTTATTCGACTTTAATATGCAGTCGGTATATTTATTTGTACCTTTCTCCACTTTCCCTATTTTTCCCAATTCTCATTTATATTGCACATATATATTTATATTATTTTATTTAGCAATTTCTTGTCTAAAATACGCTACCTTTTATTCCCCAATATGTGAATCGTCAGAAAAACAATCGAAATCGTGCACACAACGCAGAGATTGCGAGAAACCTTCGCTCCTGGTCTGCAAGAATTCAGTGCAACGGAAAAATGATTGCTGCAAATCCGATAAGAAAAAACAGTCAAAGTGCAGCGGAAGTGATCAAAGGCGATCCGAGAGCTGTCAGAAAGGAAAGTCTTCTCGGAGCAGCAAAGATACAAACTGTGGCAAGAAATATGGAAGACGACATTATTCGCAACAATCAATTTTCTCCATTTCGCGAGTTCACAGATCTTTCTCCACTTTGATTCCCGAAATCAGACTCGACACGGACGTGAGAAAAACGACGAAGGCATTTTACTCTAGCTGCGGCAAAAACGAGAAGAAGGGTATAAAACAGGGCCCGTCTTGCGAGAAACGACAGAGAAAGTGTGAAACCACGAGAAAAGATGAAACTAAAAAGAAATGTGTGAAAGGCCCAGCCAAGTGCATGTCGAGAAAATCGATCGTCGACAAGACCTGTCAGTCTACAAAAGCAAAAGATGAAGGTAAAAAATTGAAAATTTGCGAACCCGCGCAAAAATCTTGCAGTCACGCGGAATATTGTGCCAACAGAAAGATGGAGCCTATTACAAAAGGTAAGAAAGTTCTGCACGTAAACTCGAATCATAAGTTCTTCATCCGCCCTTTGTATTTTACACCGATTTTTAATTAATTTCAATTTTTAATTTTTTCTTTCCAGACAAAAAGCCGATAGAGAAAGCGGCGAAAAAACAGCCAATTACTGTGAAAGGTAAAGTCTATTCTTATATAATTCTTAATTATCTCTTTATGTACACAGAAAAGAAGCCTCATACTAAATTTCTAATTATTTTTTATTTTATTTTTCTTGGCAGATAAGAAGCCTATGGACGAGTCGATAAGAAAACAAATAGAACGCGAATATAAAGAGATAGATGAATGCAAAAAGGGTAAAAATGTAGAGAAAAAAGAGAAAAAAGCTGAAATCAAGAAGAACTGTACAAAATACAGATTGACGGACTTGAATAGCGTAATTAGTCTATGTAAACAAGAAGAAATAACAAATAATGGAAAATTTAGAAGTGTGCTGAATAAGCCAATCTTTTCTAACGCTATCGCATACAAAATGCTGAGCATTCTATCTAATATCATCAATGGCGAGATTTCAATTATTCCCAAGTTAGTATTTTAGTTTAAATTTTATTTCTATAGTGAACCATTTCTTTAGAATCCAAAAAATCAAAAACTCAGAAAGAGAAAAAAATTAAAAAATTATATTAAATATGTATTAAATATAATTATAAAAAAATAATTTTGTGCACATTAAAAGATATTTTATAATATCTTCTATAATATGTCTTATTCTAATTTCTTATGTAATTTATACTATTAGGATTACCCACAATTGTTGTAATTATTCATTATATTGCAACATATTATTTGCGATCAATAATCTATTGTTGCTTATAATAATAAGTTATTTTATACGATGCAATTACAGAGATATCAAACTGTTGAATGTAATGTTTGATCGATCATTCTCTGCCACAAAAGTGAGTTATCAGGATGATTTTGCTATC